AAGGCCCCCTATATCAACCCTAAATCGTCCAAGCCCCACTGCCAAAAAACTGAAGGCCAAAGGCAGAGCCATTTCGACCATCCATACGCGCTGAACACTTGAATCCCACATGCTCATTCCTCGCACTTAGACTCCACTTCCCTCTAATCGACTGGAAAGAAAAGTTCGTGATCATTCCTAAGTCTCTATCAGGATATGTCTCAACTCATCGACGGGTCCCTGCATACTCAAGGGTGTTTTTCTGAATGCAGCTGTATCCCTACGCCCCAGGCGTATCCCTAAGCCCCAATGCTTAGCTTTGCTCTGTTCAAGGGCCGTGCGGCCTTTGATCCTAGCTGGAAGCTCGCTTTAGTGAGCAATAGTTAGCAATAAGGCCCTGACCCCCCAAACAACAGCAGTAGCGGGTTTATCATACTTGTTTTTCTTCTTCTTCTTGTCATTGCCCGTCGTAGTTGTTGTTGTTGCTGTTGCTGCTGCTGTTGTAGGGTGTCCAGGGTTTTGGGTTTAGGAAGCATACTATGGGGGCCTTTATAATTAGAATAGGGTTTGGGGTGCATTATATACTATATTCATAGTCAGGAACTCCCCAAAACCATATTCTCATTATTCAGGCCCCGACATTACACACCCGAACTTTCGAGCTCCCACGCTGCAGGCCACGTCTATCTTGCCGCAGGAGCTGATGGCGGCCTCGATTCCTCCGGCGGTACCTACTTCGAGGCCCGGAGAACCTAAGGTCAGAAGTATGGGCGCCGAATTTGGACCCTTAGGCCTTTTGGGGGGTTCCAGGGTTAAGGACCCGTACCGGGGGCCCATGGTTTCAAACCTAGAGATAAGAGGTCGAAATCACAAATTCTGTAAAAGAGTACTGGGATCTTAGGGTTCTGGCGGGTTTGGTGGTTTAGTTTGGCGATATTGGATTTGTTTTTGTTCGTTTGGGTTTGGGGCTGAGGATCTGTATGCTAAATGAAGGGTTCACCCTCAAGACGGCAAGCCTTGAACTGTGCTGGCACGTCTTTCCATCCCACTGAGTCTGTGATGTCCATTACTGGCGCACTGCTTAGCAATTCGGCAACGGCGCATATCCTCTACAGCCCATCCTTGTGATGTTCTTTCAGAAAAGCCTTTGCAAGCTTGGAGTCTTAAATTCTCTGCCCGGAAGCTCTTGCAGATGCATGTGCAGGACATGAAGCCTGCAGAGTGCCACGCTCAGGACCGGACCTGGGGGTTTAGGGTTTAGGGTTTAAGGTTTAGGGTGTAGGGTTTGGGGTTTGTGGTTTGGGGTTTAGGGCAAGGAACAGTGTCGTTGCATTTTTGAACTTCAAGGGCTCGGCTATTGAGGGCCCGGCACCTCCAAGCCAAAACGCCTACAGTCCCAAGCCCGCAATCCACACTCTCGGAACCCGAAACCCCTAAACCTTAAACCACACCCGAAGCCCCTAAACCCTAAACCCCTAAAGCCGTAAACCCCTAAACCCTAGCCCACACCCCGAAGCCCCTAAACCCTAAACCCTAAAGCCGTAAACCCCTAAACCCTAGCCCACACCCCGAA